ACAATAGTATTCATTTAAATGTTATGAATTTTTTTTTTCACTTTCAAATCTACAGCCACATAAGTGGTATTTCGGAATCATACAATTTTCAAAACTTTATTAACGCATGATATTGTAGGTGACCGTGGCCAAAGCCATGCTGTCCCGGGTGACGTCGCGTCGAACACTGAGGTGTCGACGTTTCAATCATATCGTGGTCTTCGCTCTACAGCCCTGAAGAAGACCGCGATCTTGTAGAAACGTCGGCACCCCAGGCTTAGACGCGATATCACCCGGAGAGCCCAGATCACATCATTCACGCATCTTGTCAAAGAGAAAGCATTGTATGTGTTAGACATTTTCCCAAATTCTTTAAGAAGAAAAAACAGGTGAATTTTTATTACACTAATAAAAATATCACTCCTAAGATACTGAAACCTACAATTTTATAACAATATTTCATATTAATTGGTTTGTATACTAATTTATTATTCACATGTAAGCATTCTCTTACGAATTATAAATTTCCCTCGTTGACTGCGCAGCTTTAACGCTGGAGATACATTTGAGGCTTCTACCATCACGCGCATGGGAGGAATTTCAGAAATGGAGCATAATGAAATACTTCGAATGCATTAGCAGCATAACCGGAACGAGAATGCGAGATGCTTCAGTATGCGTGACAACGGAATGTATGTGTACAGTACAGTCTCCATACATACGTTACATTCTTCTTTAACTCGCTACGAGCAACAACAAGAAGAAAAGAAAGGGAAAGGTGAAAGAAAAATGTTATACACTATCATATCATTTGAAACATAATTTTTCAATATATTAAATCATTCATAGCAAGGTTCAAAACATCAAGTTTTCACAAATTATTAGTCAAGAATTGGCGTATTGATCCATTATATATTCAGCCATACGCAAACTCTAGGCAAAGATAACATGTAAAAAGCTCCCACTTTTTGAATTAAGTCACAATATTGCAATCATCAATACAAATACAAATATCAGGCTGCAATGTTAAGCAACGAAATATAACATGTCTAACCGAAGTAACCTTTGTAGATAGGTAAGAAGTGCGATTAACCAACTACTCTAACAGAGTCGATCTGTAATGGTAAATGTAAAAATCAGGCTCTAAACACCCATGAATACACACAAGAGAATTTGATTTTGCATCAAATGTATAGGACAAAAATTCACATCATTGGAATAAATGTTTTAACAATATTCAAATATAGTATTTTCATCATGCTTTAACTGATTTTTTTAAATTTTGTTTTCCAGGAAGCTCTTATGTACAGGATATATTGGAGATATTATATACTTAATTTTGTATTCTAGATATATAAATATGATTTTTTTTAAAATTTTAAGTAGTAATGACTTTGACTCTTTTGAAAGTGGGTTCACAAAACTCATTAATGGTAAAGCATGCAACATTAAAACCGCAACAAGTAGTACCTATCATCGCGAGAGCATTTCTCGAGAAAAAATATAAATACAGACGAAGCATGTTTGCGAAACCAAACAGTAGTTAGTGATGACGAGATAAACAAAAGTTCAATACGTTTCGTATAAACTGTTAGGATGAACGACAGCAACAATGGACAGCATAAAGGAATTATATGGCTAGTAATAAATAATGTAATGTTAACGTAAGGCAGTGTTAATATTAAAGTGAAAATAGTGAAATTAATTGCAAATAGAATGTCATATGGTCACACGAGTAATTTCTGTAGGTATTCAGTTAACTTATGAAAAGAATCAAGGACTGATAGTCAATGAATAACTAAATAAAATGCTTGAGTTGTATTAGTTAATTAGCAACGAGAATGCTTGCGAAGAAGGGGTGAACCTACATAATAGAACTAAAGGGAATCGTAATTAGGTACTGTACAGCGCATCGTGGGAGACAGAGGAATATCGCTTGTTATAACCAGACGGAGACAGAACGGACTCCGA